TACTGAGGAAGACTGGCCCTGGGCTAACATCCATGCCTATCTTCCTCTACTTTATATGGGACAGTGCCACGGCATGGCTTGACAAGCAGTACATCAGTCCCAGCCAGGGATCCAAACCTGCGAACCCCAGGCCACCAAAGCAGAGAGCACAAACTTAACCGCTATGCCACCAGGCTGGCCCCTATATGGTCGTTTTTTAATTCTGCCCCTCTCCCTGGGCTCTCAGTCCCTTGAGTCTCCAATTTTGCCTCCTTTGCTACACAAGGGTACAAAAGCTCTGCCGGTTTTTCTGTCTGTAAAAAGCATCTCTCAACCTGACCAAAGACCAGATTATTTTCCACATCTTGCACTGTGTAGAGAATCTCTAAATGCTCTCAGAAAAGGAGCAGCTTTACAATATCAGCGCACATCTCTAATGCTCCTACTTCTTCAGAATCTTGCTACCTTACCCCTATTCATTTCAGCAACAGCCTTTCCACAGATTTTTTTAAATCCATTGTTTCTAGCTGTTGGTGGGATTATTGCTCTTCTTCAAGCTACTTCATTATACCATGACTTCAGTTATTCAATATATATTTCACTAGTGACTATGAGATATGGTACAGGCACTATTCTAGATGCTGGGAATATAGTGATGAACCTAAGATTCTGCACTGGAAGAGGTATATCCTAGTGAAAGTAATTAGATCATTAAAATATATACTAATAAATATACAAATTATCAGGTGATAAGTCCTATGTAGAAAAGAAGATAAAGGGGATAGAAGGCGGTGATGCTATTTTACACGGCATGTTCAGAGAAGGTCTGTCTGGTAAGGAGACATTTGATGGTGACCTACATGAAGTTAACCGAGTGAGCCATGTGTATGTCTGGAGAGCATGTTGCTGACAGAGGAAATAGTAAGTGCAAAGCTCTAAGGTGTTTTCATGCCTGGTGATTTTGAGGAACATGTATGCTTGTAGCAGTGAGTGAAGAGTAGAAAGAGATGATAGAAGCAGCAGTTGGTGCATTGGTACCAATCATTTCAGGGCTTGTAATGTATAGAGACATTCCTTTTTAACTAACAGAAATAGGAAGCTATTCAAGGGTTATTAGGAGGAGAGACATGATCTCATATTTAAAATGATTACTTTGGCTTTTGCTTGTCTCCACACAGCACAAGGGGTTGGACAAGTTGAGTTTTGTCATTGTTCAGGTGAGAGATGATGATGGTCTGAGCAATCTTAATGCAGAGTTTAAAAGTGTGGACTCTTGGGCCGGCTCCGTGGCTTAGCGGTTAAGTGCACGCGCTCTGATGCTGGCGGCCCGGGTTCGGATCCCGGGCGCGCCCCAAGGCACCACGTCTCCGACCAACCCGAGGCCGAGTCCCACGTACAGCAACTAGAAGGATGTGAACCTATGACATACAACTATCTACTGGGGCTTTGGGGGGAAAAAATGAATAAATAAAAAAAAAAAAAAAGTGTGGACTCTTGAGCTGGACTACCTGAGTTCAAGTGCCAACTCTGTCAACATTAGCTGAACAATCCTGCTTAATCTTTCTGTACCTGAGTCCTAGAAACGGTAGGACTGTAATGACTACACCTGAGTCCTAAAAATGGCAGGAAAGAGTGGAATGGAAAGGATGAGGAGTAGGTAAAGAGCTTTAGATATGGTGTATTTGAGATGACAGTTGGGCACTCCAGTGGAAATGTAAATTACCTAGTCTGGAGCTTAATGGGTAGGTTGACTGAAGTTAAATATATTGGATGGTCAGACAATGTACTATATTAAAGCTATGAGATTAGATGAGTTTCTCCAGGAGTTAGGCTATATAGAGATGAGTATCCAGTAAATCTGAGAAGACTGACTAGTGAGAACAGAGGAAAACCACAAGATAGTAGTGTTCTGGAGACCAATCCTGGAATGTAGTCCACAAAGGAGGGGTGACCAACTATGTGAAATGCCACACATGGTGATAGTTCAAGTATGATGGCTGAAAATGACCATTTGAATTGGCAATGAAGTAGTTCTGACCTTGCCAGGGGCAGTTATGGTAGAATAGTGAGAAACAAAAGGCTGAATGAAAAGTGTTCAAAGAGAGAATGGGAGGCAAAAAGAGAAGGCAGCAAGTGAAATAAGTTTTACCAAGAGTTTTGTTGCAAATAGACAAGGCTATAGCTGGACGGGAAGATGAGATCCCCTCCAATGAGATACAAACGTGACTTTTATCTGATGAAGGTTAGTGTTGATCCAATCTTGATCATAGTGTGGCTCATCTGGTTTGGTTCAAATGACTTCTTGTCTCTCTCTAGTCTAGTGACTGCTCAGTTATGTAACTGAAAACCTCTCTGGTTGTTCTTTGAAAGGATTAATAATATTCTCTATCAGATGTTGTGAAGAATCAGCATCTTTACTCTGCTGGCATAGTGGTTCTTGATATCATAAAACTTGAATCTTTATAACTAGCCCCAAACTATAATTTTGCTGGGCCACAATTTTGAATTCTTTATTCTGTATTATTTCAGTGTTCAAGTTATTAGCTAGTTGACCTCTAAGTAGTTACATCTCCACATGGCTCTCTTATCCTCCATTATTCATTATGATAGCTGTAACTCTGATGTAATGCTACAAAGTTATTCTGAGATGTGGGGCAACCAGAGTGCAAGGACTAATACTTGCAAATACAAGGGAGTATCCTGCTCATCTGATGTACTAACAGATTAACAAAAAAAGGGGTGTATTAGTTTGCTAGGGCTGCCATTAACAAAATTCCACAGACTGGGTGGCTTAAAACATAGGAATTTGTTTTCTCACAGTTCCAGAGGCTGGAAGTCCAAGATCAAGATGTTGGCAGGTTTGGTTTCATCTGAGGTCTCTCCTTGGCCACCTCCTTGCTGTGTCTTCACACGGTCTTTTGTCTATGTGCACACACCCCTGGTGTTTCTTTGTGTGTTCAAATTTCCTCTTCTTATAAGGACGCCAGTCACATTTGATTAGGGGCCATGCTGTTAACCTCATTTTAACTTAATCACCTCTTGAAAGGCCTATTTCCAAATATTCCACATTCTGGGGTACTGGGGGTTAGGGTTTCAAAATATGGATTTTAGGGAACACAAATCAGCCCACAACCTGTGGTAATCTGTTCTATTAGTACACAACATATTTTAAAGAGGTTGAGGAAAAAAAACAGTTAGAAGCAATTTGAAACCCAGTAATAACACCAAACCAGTATTGACTGACCACATGAGAGCTAGAAAAACTAATACATTAATAACTAACATTTACTAAACCTCTAGTATGGAACAGGTATGTGATTTTATATATATACACACATGCACACATTGATACACACACACATAAATATAAATATATACATAGATATATGAGTAGATAAATAGAAATATATATAAAATTAGTTATCACAAAAAGCCTACAAGATAGGTGTTATTCCCACTTCTCAGAAGAGGATATTTAGATTCTGAACTTTAATCCAATAATTCACAAAAAGTCTTAAATCTGTAGAGGTATCTGAATTGTTAAAAACTTGACATTCAACATATAGTAGCCGTGATAGAGAAGATAGGGATTTACAATTTAGAACATTTTCAACAAAAAAATTAAAACAAAAAGAAACTATGGGACGTAAACAAGATGAATTTTAGTTACCTATAAGATGCATTTTTGTGTTCAGCATGTCCAGATGATTAGAGATAAACATGGTGATTGTACCTGACATAAAATTGTTCACACTGTAAATCTAATTCTGTCTTTTGTTGAGTGAATGATAATATGAAAGTCTTGGTGCAAATTTTGATGAGATGGTAAAAGTTTTAATCATCTTCTCCCCAGAGTATCAATAATTTGAGAAAACATGCAAATATTTGGATATTACAATCTGTCCAAATGATGCATTTTCAAAAATACTTTATATTGGAATATGGCTTATGTGTATTTTAGAAGTAAAAACTATTATATGAACAATGCAAATTGGCAACTAATAGTTATGTAAACAAGTCATATTTTTGCTTTAATTACTTTTGCTTAGTTTTAAATTCTCAGTGCCACTTTGATAAATCATCTACAAAATTACAAAAAAGTAATGATTTGTTTAGAGGTCAAATATGTAAAAGGCATGTCTAGTAATTAACTTTAGGCTATTGAAATGAAAGTCAGTATCATCAATCTGTGTCATTTCCGCATATATTCATCATTTAAAATAGAACAATATTCACATTGAAGCGTATGAAAATAATGACAGAGCTAGTTTGAAGTATATATTAAATTCAAATTTTTGAAAAGGGGAAAAAAAAGACTATTTCACAATAATAACCTTCAACTTCTGAAAATTATAATAAAGACAGTCACATTCAAGTGGACTTGTAAAACAATTTTAATTTTTACTCAAAGTATGAGATGTCATCATTAGTCCTTATCTTACGCTTGAAAAATGGAGACAATTGTACAGGAAAGAAAGGGAAACAGAAGCTATCAGATTTTAAGCTCAAGTTTCAAAAAACTCAGATAAGGCAGGTAAAAACTCCAGATACTTTCCCATTGTCTAAAATTGTCAAACATATTAATTTTCATATGCCTCCTTATTTCATAAAACATATATATTATCATTAGGATTAACAGTTTATTTTAGATTTTTTCCCTAAATACCATGATTTCTTGTTTTAAAGAAAAGCTCCCCAGTAGTGCTACCCACTTCATAAACTGACCTGCAGTTTTTTCTTTTTTAAAAAAATTCCAACCTATTTGGACTTGAAGAATAAATATCATATACCCAGGGTAAACTATTTTATCCCCACCAAATATAAGTGATCAGTATTTTACAATGAAGAAATTCATAGTATTTAATAGCATATTAACTGTACCAGGACTGGACTGACTGAAGTATGGGCCTTTGTATACAGACAAGTTCTGATAAAAAAGATATCTGAAAAATAGAAGGGGAAAAAAAGGAAATGCTAGGAATAACGCTTAGCTACATAAAGAATTTTTAATCAAAACTTACCAGATCTAATAAAATTCTAAAGAAACTGATGAAAAGCGATGCCCCTAATGTGAACTATAATTAAACTACTTGTCTGCCTTAGGAAAATCAGCTCAGTAGCTGATCTTTATGTGGAAACAAAAATAGAGGGCTTTGTCATTATTCATTAGGCACAGGAAGGAGACTACTGCTTTATTTAAAAAAAAAAGACTAGATTAACTGGTAGCCCCCCAAAGAGTAGTAGAGTTAAACTATCTCCCGCCCCAAAATGGCCATATGTTGTTTACTTCCAGTTAATTCTGACATTGCAGAGAAAGACATTACAACCTGACTTAAAATAACAAGAAATGAACATACAAAGTAAAATAACAAAAATCAAACAACAAAACAACAACAACAAAACCCTATGATGATGAATTTTGTTCGTACCAAAAGCGTAGTAAGAAACTGAAAAAAAATTGCTTGTAGATAGCAACAGTGCAAAGGTATCATGCCAGGTCCTGTGCACACAACCTCTTCAACGCAGTGTAAGTTTCTTCTCAGCAGCCACCTATGAAGGCCTGAAGTGTAGTGAATGTGTACTGTGGCTGCTTCACTAACACCATAAATAAGAGTGGCCAGGGCCATTATTCATGTCTGTTGGCTGAAAATTACTCTCGGAAAACACTTAGTCACTAGACTCTTTTTAAACAAGCAATTTCTCATTAACAAGTTCTGGTCAACAGTGAACTAGAATGAGTCTTAATGGACCTTCTTGGTTATTAGGACATTTGTTAACTCCTTGCCCGTTTTTAAAACTCCAGTGTTTGATAGGCAGCCACTAAAATAAACCCTCCCCCTTTTCAAATTACTTCCCTTTCATCTCCCTAAAGAGGACCCTATGTAAACCTAAAAACATATGGTAATATACAAAGTTTTCCAAAGTGCAAAATGTGTTACATATAGTTTCATAGGCTTCATTTAAACACAGCATTTTATACATTACAGTACAGTTTTGAGACTTCTGCTCATAAATTACACCACTTAACGGACAACTACTTTAAAAGGTTGGCCACTCAAAGTAACCCAATGCCTTCTTACACAAGGTTAATACAATTGAACTGTACAAGCTTTGTTCAGACCAAAATAAAGTTAATCTTACACTTATCACATATATACATACATATTTTTAAATGTTCTTTAAATGCTTACGTACAGCTAGACAAATCTCAAAAACCATGAATTATCTTACAGTTTGGTTTCTGGTTTGCTTACAAACATTGTACACAATATTAAAAAAAAATAATTTGTGAAACAACTCATTTTATTTCTTTCTGTAAGGTCTGCTCACCCTGTAACTCTTTTGGTTGGGTTCTTGACCGCTGTAGAACCACGCTAAGTTCTTCAATGACATTTGATGGTAACTTATTATCAGATCCCAAGGTAGCCTTGCCATTCCTGTCCTCAGTCTTCCTCAATGTCTTGAGACCTTTATGGCCTTTTTGTTGCTCACGAAGGACCTCAGCCTCTGTGTCCTCCAGACAGTTGAAACTTCGATGCTTTCTGGTACGATGTCGAAGTTTATCGTCCTTGTGCTCCAGGCAGTGGGCCACGATGGAGGCTTTCTCCTTTAAGCTAGAATCTCCAGACTCTCGATCACGATTTTCACTGAGCCGCAGCCTTTCAAGTTCTGCTCTGGCACTCTAAAAATAAAATAAAATATCTGACAGATTTGGCACAATTTCAGTTTAAAAAATACATTCCACATAAAAGCCGACGCTTCTCATATTAGAGCTTATTTCTATGACGTCAGTTCTAACTTTACTTTGGCACAAGTGACATGTCTGAATTTATATACTGATCTTAGAGCTACAAATTCAACTGAAACATAGACCATGGAAATTCATTTTAACATGCATTTAACATACCACTTTAAAGATGTCTTTAAGGTTATTCAAATTGACTCTCATTTCAAACTTGCCTCTTCCAATTCAATGCTGCTTGTTAGTGTCACCTATTCGTGCATCTGTAATTCCTACGGTGTCGTACCCACAGCACTGAGGAAAAACATGGTCTCCATGGCCACGTGAGTTGGGGAAATACTCCATACTACAGCTCTCTCTTTGAAATTCACAATACATATTAGCATATTAAAGACGCTGCAAAGTATTATGGCAAAGAAATCTGTTTGACTAGTGAAATCTTTTCCCCCCATATAATGCCTATTAGAATTCCACAGATATATATACATTTCAGTGTTTTCAAAACTATGTTTATGTATTAAAACCCACTTTTGTATCAGTAGATTAGAGTACACCTTCATCCAGTAAAATGTAAGGGCCTACAGGTACCAGAAATCCATTGTGACTCAACACCTGCAATGGTATACAGGTGGGCTTTCTTAACTAGTGTTCAGGACGTCTTGTGACTGGGCAATTTCTGGCGTACAGAACTTTCATCAGATTCTCAAAGGGGACTACAACTTTATCAAGTGTAAGATACAAGAACGAACGACAGAGAGTCAAGCATATAGGGGCACAGAGCCACAGAGAAAGGATAGCCAATAAACTGGGTCAGGGGGTAGGTGGCGTGAGAAGAAAAAAGTTATTTTTCATTTCATAAGTAAGAGTGGAAGGAATTTCTTCAAAATTTCCCCAGTAAAATTGCAAAGCACAGAAAGCAGAAATCTCGAGAAGTTTTTAAGTTATGAATGTTTGCTAATATATTAAGTATGAAATTAAGTAGCATAAACAGTATAGTAAAGATGTTTCATATAATAATGTTTAAAAGGCAATACTTCACCTTTCTCTATATTTTTCTACAGCACTTATCACTTTCTAAATAGACTATAAAGTTACTCCTATCTCTTGTGATTGTCGGCAGGCCCTGCTAGCAAGTCAACTCAATGCAAGCAGGGTTTTTGTTTTTCGCTTTGGTTTGACTGATTCACTGGAGTGTGAACCTAGAACAGTGCCTGCACACGGGAAATGATCAATAAATATTTTGTGAATAGTGAATGAAGGTTTAAAAAAATTCAAATGTGTAAGACTCTGCTCTATTTTCCTAAATTCCAGCAGATCCAGACACGAAATTATACCAGACAAATTCAAGCTGAATAAAAGTACTTTCATAAACATAATTTATAAATAATTTGCAATTTGGAGTTTTCTGTCAAGATTATGATTAAACATCTCAGATAAATATATTTCTTCTACTCTAAAACTGATAGAAAGAAATATTTATTATTTAACTTAATTTCAAAATTTCATTAGAAGGATATGTTAAAATATTGGGAAATAGCAGTGATGCACAACAATGTGAATGCAATTAACGCCACTAAACTATACACTTAAATGGTAAAAATGGGAAATTTTATGTTATGTGGATTTTATCACAATAAAATAAAAACAGCAAAAAAAACCCAAAAGGAAAAAAAAAATATGAAAGGTTAGTGAAAATGATGGCTAACTAGCATAGGAATGGGACTGGGAATTTATAAACAAATACTAATCCTGTTCAAGTTTCACTTGCATCTATTACTTGAAGAAAACTAAGGATCCATATAGAATGGTTTTACAGATCATAGTAACAGTTCTCATTATCTTTCAGCTATCAGCAGAAAGACTTTGGGAGTCTCTTAGATGTAGAACCTAGGGGCTAAGTATTAACACACGTAATGCTGAAATTTCAAGTTAACTATAATATTAGCCTAAATGATGTAACCTTACATGAAGGTGGGGAGAGGTGACGGAAGTGAATCGGTAAGAGTCAAGAGGATGGGACAGCGTGCTTTGTATGAACAATATGGTGTGCTGGAGTGCCCTGTAGGCTGTGGCGAAAGAAAGCCAAGGGCATGGATACTGGGGAAAGAAGGACAGAGTTTATGTGCTGCACTGTCCTTAAAAGATAAGGTGTTAATAACTTAAAAAGAAAGATAGAAAAGGTATGAAATTAGGGGAGCAAGAGGTGGCCTGGTCCAGACGATGCCAGTTTGTGCCAGAGGGTGTTTAGAGAAAACCATTTGTTTGAACGGAAATGATGATCTGAAATGGAGTCTGTCTCCCTGCAGAGACAGGAGTTTCTGCTGTCATAGCCAGGGCAAGGTGCAAGAATGGTTTCTCAGAGAAAATCTCTCACACGGCTTTAGTCTGTGCCTGCATATATTTTCCATTATATCCAGATGTGGGCCAATGGTTACGGAGATCTCATAATACCAAAAAGTGATATGACCAACATGTACAGCTTACAGTAGAAACTCTCTTAAATGACGTTCACCAGTAAACTCACTGTGTTAGTTGATAGTCTCCATGCTATAAAATATATAATTGTATCATTAATTTAATCCTCACAATAATGCTTTAAATTTTATGATTATTTACACTAAAAAGTATATTATTTATGGTTTAAGATGCAGAAATAGAAACTCAAGGAAATAACAATTTGCCCAAGGTCACATAAATGGGAGTTTGGAATGGGACCCCAGGTTGGCCTATCTGAAACCAATGTGCTTCTTTCTACCACATCAAACTGTGCTCCAGGATGGAGACAGGGGAGATAGGTATTTAATGGGCAGGATTCTAGGTCACTATTTTCTGCTTTAACTGCATCATTCTTCTTTGCTCATTATTTTTATTGGTTTTACAGAAGGCATTATTAAAAGGAATGGCAATTTTGGAAACTAGTGAATTATTCCATATTGTCTTCCAAGTTCCTTATTATTTTGTCTCAATGAATCTTAACTATGTGCCAGGCATTATTCTAATAAATTCCCATGTATCATAATATTTAATCCTTACAACCACCCTACGAGGTAAGGGCTTTTATTGTCCCCACCTGCTTACAGATAAAGAAACTGAGCACAGGAAAACTAAGCAGGTACCCAAGATTTTATAGGGAGTAAGTAGGAGAGCCATAGGTAGCATCTAGCTTGTGCATTCTTAAGCACTATGTTTGCCTCTTCATGTATAATTTCCTTTGCCAACAACTTACGTTCCCTGGCTTATTCAGCTAGCTCACTACTAATTTACTCAATTTTTCAGAAGTCGCTTCCTTCAGGAAGACTTTCCTGCCCAGATGAGGTAACTTCATACAACTTTCACTAGAACCTCATGAAAGCAAGACAAGTCACCAAATTTATCAATCTGCCAACAACTTGTTTGAAAAACAATTCTTCTTGAATATCTCCATTGATCCGACTATATTTTTTCTCATGAGTATATTCTACTTAGAAATATTTTAAGTCATGTTCCATTTTTAAAAGGATCAAACTGGTTAGTCATTTTATAAATGTTTTCTTATATATGTACATGATTCTAATCTAATTTTATAACAAACATTTTAATGGTTCACATGAAAAATTTTCAATTGTTATTAATTTTGTTTTAACGTTTTTTAAACTTTCAATGCTTTTGCCAACATAAGAACATTTAAAAATTCTTTGCCAAATTGTTGAATTACCACGTCGCTACATTTACGAAACTTACAAAAAAGCTTGGTTTACTTTAACTACTCATATATTTTCCAGCAATTAATATTTCAGGGAATTGTTTTAAGAGCCTTTAACGATTTCTTTGTAGTTTTAATTCATCAGTTTTCTGATCTTAAGCATGCTAAAAAAATTGTCTCTGAAATTTTGGATTTGGGATTAGGTAACAAACTATTGTATATTCAATCGTCATCTCAATTCAATACTGAATGGCGGTTAATGTATCTTGATCTTAATAACTTGGCTTTTGCTTTGCTCCATAATCAATCATAAGGCAATGTCAGGAGAAGCTGGGGTCACAGTAAGGCATACCTACTCCCTACATTTGCTCCATTTGTTCCACCTGTGTCCTTTAACCTGGGGTCCTGGGATGTGTGACTTGTAGCTAATCTAGAATCTTCAAATTCTAAGGAACCCATAGTTCTGCAGAGCAGTTTATTACCAAAAAAAACCTGTAAGTGCGGAATGGCAGGAGGAACAAGCTCATGATTTCCTGGAGTCTTATTCTCCCCTTCGATTATACCAATATCAGTGCAGAAAGACTCAGCAGGCAACAGAGGAAAGAAACCATCATTTTCAAAGCTTTTATCTTTTCGAGAAGAGGAATATTACAGTGAGAAAAATGTTCAAGGAAAGGTAGGCACTGAAAAACTTTTAAAACATCTGATCACTAAACTAAAATGCTTTAGTCTTTCAAGAGTTATTTCTGTTTGGCAAGCAAGAAATTCAAATAACTTAATCCCAAGTTTAGGCTCTAAGAAGAAATAATATTTTTCACATGCTTTTCTTTTTGCTTTGAGGGGCTCAATTAAGGCACTGAAACATGCATTAGTCTTAAAGTGTCTAATGAGTTTTGAGTGCAAACAGCCTATTCCTTTCCCGAAGAGACTGAACTTCAAGTCAAGATTGATGCTACTTATGTTCTCCCCTCCCCTCAAGGTGAAAAGGCAAACAAGTAGCAGCTTTCATGAAAGATGTCAGATATTCTTTATTGATACATCTTGCAGGTCCTTAAATTAACTGAGACACCCCATCAGTTCCCAAAACACTTTGATTGTTACTAGAAAGTCTAGTTACCATGGCTCCAGACACATTCTGCCATAGGCAGTTCACTTAGAAGTGAACTTCTAAGACTAATTTGAGACTGTAATTTTACCACCAGAACTTCTGTATATATATTTAAAATTGCTTTGCTACTTTAGGGATAAGAAAATAAGTGGCATTGTGCATTTTAATGGGTGGTCAATGACATTATTAAAACTAATCATTTAAGAGGTTAAAATATAAAACTTCAAAAGAGTGGCATAGGGTTATTCATAATGTTTTCTTGATGGCTGTGATTTTTACTACGCTTTTCAAAGTGATGATTATTGTGCTTTTGAAGCTAGTGAAGTAATTAATGCAGTTGCAGTTAATCACATTAAGACATAAGAAAACAAATGCTATAATTAATATAAAACAAACAAAATCCTAACTTACCTCGATATTTCTCCGGGCTTGGGTTGCATCTCTCTCAAGCTGGATGGGAATTAGAGGCAAACCTCCGATTTTGGGATTTTTGGTTATAGAACGTTTTCGCTCCTTTCCAGCTGGTGGCCGTATATCATTTTCATGCTGTAGAAACACAATTTCTTGCTGTTGGTGTGTGATTTTATTTTGTGATACACCATGTTATATAGTCACTTGGCTCCTCTTCCATACATCCAAATCAAATGGTTTGCTTTCCATGAGAATGCCATTTGTAATTATGATGTTGACTCTGGCGGTGGCATTGCTCGAGGATATAAAACTCTTAAGTGAACTGAGCTTTGAGGTCTCAGTTCAATTTCTAAGTTTCAACTACATGCCTGCTGTACCACTTATCAAATCAAAAAGGGGGAAATATTTAAGGAAACTGGCAAATCTCTTTGTGAGAGAAAAATAATACATTTGTCTACATTTCTAGGCCCTGTAATCAAAGTAACTATACATTCATTTTCTGTCTCCTCCAAAGATGACTTTAGAGTAAAAATAATTTGACCTTATATACCCCAAGTCAACCTAAAGCATGGTTATCAGAAAAATCAGCCTTATTTTATGACCTTTTGAAAAATCTGACTTTTTGATCTAATTGAATTTTAAATAAACGTTACTTTGTACACAGACATTTATAGCGAAAATCATTGTACAACAGAGAATGTGGCACACTGCATACTCTGGCCACTGAGCAATTACAGATATGAGTAGAGAAAAGTTAATTTTGCATTGGGGAGAAATATCCACAGGTAAAGACATAAGCTCATGAGTGATAAATCCTTGAGATATATATATAAAAGAAAAATCTTTAAAGAATTTTTCTACTCCTCAGGGTAGATTAACTTTTTAGAAGTTGGGCAAAGCAAATTGATTTTCAGACAACAACCTATGAAACAAATACAGAATACCAACTATAAAATGAGAAGTTTACAGATGTTAAGATGAAAATCATTTGGTAAACTATATAACTAAATGTCTACTCTTTATTTTCCTCTACTCTTAAGATTCAATAGATTCTTGTTCCTATGTTGCAATTAAAATTTCAATGTAGTGTTTTACAGCAAAGAAATTGTTTCAACAAATAGACTGTGTATCCATTATATAATAGCTAATTTATATTGAGGGCCATACTGCTAGACTTTATGCTTATCAATATACATACATCTCATTTAATCCTCAACGATCCTACAGTGTAAGTCCTATTATCACTAGACTTCGTGTATATGCATCAGATCTACCCTTGAATTTCAGTGAAGTGTTTACTTTGGTTCAGCAAATCTACAATGGTACATTATGCAATATTTCAGAGAGAAAGTTACAAGCTTCATAACATTATTTTTATGTCCAGGTGCCAAACCTGGTAAAAATAATTTTGATATTATATAACTGGGATGTAACCAACAGGCAAAGCTGGGAGAAAACTGGCTCGGAAGCAATTAGGTAACCTTATGAATTATGCTTACACTTTTATTCACTGATGTATAGTACATGTGCTAAATGATATTTTAAGGAACCTAAGAGCAAATGCAGTTTTCAAACACATATTTCTTTTTTTGACATGATATACCATGCTGTGAATACTGGCTAATTACTTCTCACTGGATTGATCCGAGAGGTGTTTTTCCCAATATCAGAAATCATTAGATCTAAGTAATATGTTCTGACAACATTTATATTATGTATAAGCGACTTCAAAAGTCATACTGCATGGATCATATAGCTGAGGCTCATACGTTCATTATTATAACCAATGATCACACCCCAAAATCTTCATTTCTGCCTCCCACTTTCTTATTTTCTGTCTTTATAGCTCTACTGAGGTACAACTGACAAATAAAATTGCAAGGTATTTAAAGTGTACCATGTGATGATTTGATATATGTATACATTATAAAAGGATTCCCCCCATCGAGTTAACTAACACATTCATCATCTCACTTATTTATCTGGGGGTGGGACATGAGAACACAAGTTCTACTCTCAGCAAATTTAAACTACACAATATAGTGTTATCAACTATAATCACTAGGTTATACATTAGATCCTCAGACCTTATTCATCTTATAACTGAGAGTTTGTACCCTTTTACCAAATTTTCTCTATTTCCCCCACCCTCTAGCAACTATTTTTCCACTCTCTATGAGCTTGACATTTTTTTTTTAGATTCCACATATAAGTGATACCATGCAGTATTTGTCTTTTTCTGTCTGGCTTATTTCACATAGCATGATGCCCTCCAGGTTCATCCATGTTGTTGCAGATAACAGATTTTCTTCTTTTTAAAGGCTGAATAACACTACATTATATATATGGAATATATACATATACACCACATTTTCTTTATCCATTCATCTGTTGACAGACACTTAGGCTGTTTCCATACCTCGGCTATAGCGAATAACGCTGCAATGAACATGGGTCTGCCTCTCACTTTCTGACCTTGACCTCTTACCCTTCCAACTCACTCAATTTAGCTTCATTCACTCTAAGTATTCTTTAGACTCCTTGAGACCTTCAATCCATTCTCCACCACCATTCTACTTTTCAATTTTTTTCCCACTTCCTTCATAGCCTGGCTTAGATTTCATGGTCAATCAATATACTCACCTCCTTGTAAATATCTTCAAGTCCTGTGCTCCTTCTCCCTCCATCCTATATGCCTGGCAAAGCCCCAAACCTAGTTAAACCCAATTCTACTTACTCTGTGGGTGCCTACCAACTGATGCAGAAAGAAAAAAATAGAAGATCACTCTGGGGATTCATCTCACTTTAAATTTAACCTTAAATTTCAAGTGAACACTCAGCATTACCTGGACGTTCTACTATATGGCAACTGGCTTCCTCACTCTCTGATTAGTTCTCCTCTTTTACTCTGCCCCCACACTTCTAATATCCCCAGCTCACTCACATGTGGGGACCTCACTACTTCAATTTAAAAAATGATTAGTAATCATTCAATAATTTCATTTTCCCATCATGAAATGTACCATTCTCTCCTCATCTGTAGCCATATAAGTGAGGCTCCCTTCTCTTCCAATCAGTATTTGCTCTGATTACAAATAACTTTTCTCCAAACATATCTATAATTGCTCAGTGGGCCAGAATATCTAGTCAATAACTTGAGAACAAACGTGCTACACTCTCTGTTGTACAATGATTTTTTCAGCAACAATGAACAAATGTGCACTTGCTTACATTGCTTCAAGTCTGCTCAGGGCCTCTGCTGGTTTAATAATCTTTCTCCTCCTCTATTAAATTTTTCTTCCAATTACTGGATTGTCTCCATCAGCATATATGCCAAGGATACACTCTCCCATCTTAAAGACAAACAAATCAAAACCCCAAAACCTACCTTGACCTCTTACTTCTATCTAGTCACAGCCTCATTTATCTTTATAGCAAATTCTTTAATAGAATTCTCTGTACCCATCACCTGGTTTTCTTCCTTCCTCAACTCTTCTCATTTCTTTTGCTGGTTTTTTCTTTTCTGTTTGACCTTTAAAGTCTGGAATGTCCCAGGGCTTATTTGTCCTCTCTTTCTCTCTCCCCCTACGCTCCCCTCTTTCTCATTCTATATTCTCATTCTCTCTTTCTCATTCTCTTTCTCTCCTCCCTCTCTCTCATCTCACCCAATCCTCCTACGGCTTTCAATACAACCTAAATGCTGACTTCCCCCAAATTTACATTTCAGCTTCAAACTTCTGCCTGAGTTTTTGACCTATGCATCCAACCTGCTACTCAGCATATCCATTTGTATGTCTAATAGGCATCTCAAAAATTTTTTTGTGTGTGTGAGGAAGATTGGTCCTGAGCTTACATATGTGGCTCTAACATATCTTCCTCTATTTTGTATGTGGGACACCACCACAGCATGGCTTGATGAGCGATGCATAAGTCTGTGCCCAGGATTCAAACCTGTGAACCCCGGGCTGTCGAAGTGGAGCATACGAACTTAACCACTATGCCACCGGGCCAGCCCCATAGGCATCTCAAATTTTACGTGGCCAACACAGAACTCTCAATTTTCTTCTGCATCTCTGATAATATCACTTACACTTGCCAGTTGTTTAAAAAACTAGGACTCTTCCTTGGTTTCTACTCCTTCTCTCAAACTGCTATAGCCGATCAATCTGCAAGCCTTATTGGTTCTACCTTCAAATATTCTTGAATTTGAATACGTCTTGCCAGATCCACTGTTACAACCCTAGTCCGAGCTGCCATTTTCCACACAGTTGTTCTCCCTGCTTCCATCTTTGACCCCTACAGTGCAGCCTCAACAAAGTAACCAATATTATTATTTTTTCAAGTAATATAAATCTGATTATATCGTTTCCTTGTTTCCCACTCAAACTCCTAAACTGGGACTACATGATCTGTCCCCTGCCTTCCTCATCGCTTACATCCTTTTTCACACAGGCCTTCATGATGCTCATAGAATATTACAACATGTCATGACCTTACTTGCCAGCCCCCAACCCTGGAATTCTCCCCCTCCTGCATATGTGCAGGACTCACTCCCTCATTCCAGACAGGGCTCAGCACACTGTCAGCTACTCAGAAAGGCATTCCCTGAGACTCTTTCTCAATTAGTGCCCTTTCTTCCCTCACACACACTGGCTTTCCTTTCCCTAGCTTATTTATTATTTTATTTTATCCCACTAATATCTATTTGAAATTTTATCCGGTTATTTATTTTCTTCTCTCTTTTGAATTTTAGAAATACTGAGTATGGACTCTGTAAGAGGCATTGGGTTCTGTGATGCGGATATACATACAGGTCTAATAAGACTGAAAGAGTCCTTCTTCTCATGGAGTTTATGTTTTAGTAGGAAAGACATATATGAAAAATCTAAATACACAAATGCTTTTTAATTAGCACTACCATGTTGAAGTATAGGCTACTAAGGGTTTCTATAGCGTGAAGGTCTTATTGGTCTGAAGGTCAGGGGAAGTTTCTCTCAGAATGTGACATAAAAGCTGAAATTTAGAGGACTTTTGAGGCAGAGATGAGGATGGGGATGGATATTAGAAAAGTATTCCGGGCACCAAAAAGAACTCATTGTAAAGGCACTCACTGTTGATTAGTGTGTGTGTGGGTGTGTGCATGTGTGGGTGTTGTAACATATATATTAACATTTGCTACTTTCCTGTCTGTTTCCCTATGGAAGTGAACCATTAAATCCTTAAATCCAAAAGGACCTTTGTGTTTATCTTAATCCTAAAAAGTGGAATGAACAGAGGAAAGGTAATTGGGCCGAGTCTCTGGGGCCAAGACAGCAAAGAATAGGTGAGGCAGGGAAAAATAACTTGGCCATGAGAGCAACCTCTGTTTCCTGGCTATTTATACCTTGATTTTCAACTACAGAGTCTACTGACTTCAACTATAAAAACAAAAATATCAATTTAGTTGCACCATAAATAGACACTGTACCAGTTTTCAACTCAATGTTCCAATTTTACTAAAATACTTCAAATTTAGTTTTCTTAAAGTAGGACTTGAATATCTGAATTTTTAAAAAGTCAAAAAAAAGAAGAAAAGTCTCTAAAAGTTAGTAACCAGTCTTTTTCAGCAACTGTATTCCCAGGTAGTAATAGTAGGTCAGGCTGAGAAGAGCAGTGTTTATTAACCACTGGAAAGGTTAATAAATTAAATGAATAGAGAAAATGGTTTTCAAAACAAATAAAGACTAGATTTTGGGGTGAATTAACTTTTCACTTGTAAGAGGAACAGGGACGTACAACCTTAGTAATAAAGAGTGGCAGCTTAATCATTACCAGTGAATTTCAATGCTCTTGTGGGAAGCATCACTGGGAATTCAGCCAGACAAGGTTGGGGGAAAAAAACCAATCCTATTAGTGGGACTATTTAACCCTTCCCCCAGAGTGAGTCCTCCTCTAGGGAGGAGAGTGAATGGGGAATTGAGTACAGGTGTTGGCCTATGGCATCCTTGGCTTTAAACCACTACTAAATGTACAATCCTAAGCAAACGATGGAACCTTTGACAACCTTTACTCCCTCATCTATAAGCAACGTCATGCACGGTTTGTTACAAGGAATACATAAGTTAACCCTTTTGAAGCATCTAGCACACAATAAGTATTAAAGAAATAGGTTCCTGTCCTTGTTTCTGGAAAAGCAGAGGTGCAGAGAGTAGGAGGCCATAAGGAGAATAAGAAGGAAAATAGCACACTTTTCTAAACGAAGATCAGTGTGGAACCCTGGTAGGATGAGAGCTGAGATAAGCCCGTCTTTTTACAGTACTACCATCTTGAAGCAACACACATCTCCTAAGCTAAGAAGGTGCTGGGCTGGCAAAAAGAGGTCTCCACAAAGAGAGTAAACTGTCTTTCAAAGAGAATGGATAAATCTGGATTCTCAAATATTTAAAAAATATGAATGAGAAAATAAAAGTATAGACATAAAACTCAAATTCTCTGAAAATCACCACCACACTTCCTATAAACAGTTGTTATACTTTACTGAACAGTTGAAACAGATATCATACCTGGGCAATAAAGAGACTGGCCATCCACTCCATCTGACTTTGTAAGCTATCACAACACAGATGCCTGCAAAACAAGTTCATAATTCAAAAAGACAATGGAATTCTCCGGTGTATTTGGTGATTAAGTGATCAGAAACCTATTTGAGTTTCTCCTAATTAATGATTCAATGCAATCAAAACGGGAGTATTTCAGGACAAGTTGCTTCTGGCTTCTGTTAAGTGTACAATATCAAAATAATAGTGTAAATATGCTAGTTTAAACAAAATACAGCTAAAGGCTTTGGTAACTGCTGAAAAATGATCGAAATATTTTTGGAAAGGCAGAAAGGTCAACGTCATTTGCTTTTTCAGGTACACAATGTTAAAACATCTTTTTCCCCAGAAACCCCGAGCCTAAGAAGCAAAGTATGTACACATTTTCTTAAGAGCAGATTTTTAAAAAAGGCTTAGACAATCTCCATTATGATTATAAACATTAACACCCACAAGACTCATGAAAAATGAACTACATGAAAAACCACTGCATGCCCAATAACACTGACTCAGTGACCTTTCATTGAAAAGCTACATAAAACAGAGATCTCGCCTTCAAGGTTCACATAGTCTATTAGGGGAGCCAAGCATGTAAACAAATAAATTATAACATGGTGAGAAAAAGAGAAAGTAAAGTTAAATGCAAACACAGAAACAGCACATTTGGGGATGAGGTGCAGTTTGTTTCCTAGAAGAGGAAAACTTTGTAACTGACATTAGAGTGGTACAATGGACCTTTCAACGTAATTATATTTTTTATATTCCTGTATATAAATAATTGGGGGAAAAAGTTAAAATGAAACTTCTAAAAAATTTTTGCTTCCTTCATTAGATTCTCATGAAAACACTGTCCCTTCACACAGCCATGTCTAAGAAAACTGTTCTCTCCACAAATCATTTTAATTATGCACCCATGTGTACAAAATACTGCAGATGCACAGAAGAAATAACGATTGGATGTGAGAGTTATTTGAGAAGACTTTTGGGATATTTGAGCCATGGTTTGAATGAAAAACGGTAGCTGAGTCAGCCAGATCCGCAGGAAGAGGATGGAAGTGACGAGGGGAGGGAGCAGCATATAGTGTGGGAAAAGGTTCAGGAAAGGGACCACGTATATCAAACAGGTAGATATGAAGCAGCAAGGCATGCATGGTGAATTCAAGACAAATTATTATTTTATCATTAAGCAAAAAAGGGAAAATTGTGGGAGATAAAGCTGATGGAGCCCCATATTAAAGGATCTTGCAGCTGTGCCAACAGTCCTGTACTTTATCCTGTAGGTATAGGATTCATAGAAGAGTTTTAAAGAAGGAAAGAAACATGATACATTTTAGAAAGTCGCTTTGGTGGCTGCGTGGAGTATGTACTAGAAAACAAAAGCAAAGTCAGAGACATGAAGAGCACTTAGGACTTCTGGAACAACCCAAGTCAATGAATGAAGGCAAGGCCCCAAGGATAGAGGGCATGGTGGATCAGAGAGATAATTAAGAGGCAGATCTGGTATAGCTCAGTGATGGATTAGACACAGGCAGGTGAGGGAGAAGGAGACACCTAGTACACTCTAGGGAGAGTGTCTAGATCCTGATGATGTCAATGGAAAAAGTACATATATGGAAAGAACAGGTTTGAGACCAAGATTTTTCTTTAAATTGAGTTTCGGCTAGTTTTTTTTTTTTTTTCTGAAGAGATCAGCCCTGTGCTAACATCTGCCAATCCTCCTCTTTTTTTGCTGAGTAAGACTGGCCCTGGGCTAACATCCGTGCCCATCTTCCTCCACTTTATATGGGACGCTGCCACAGCGTGGCTTGCCAAGCAGTGCGTCAGGGCGCGCCCGGGATCCAAACCGGCGAACCCCGGGCTGCCGCAGAGGAGCACGCGCACTTAACTGCTTGTGGAGTTTTGGCTAGTTCTTATCCTTTATTTAAAACTGAACTTTGCCTCCTTATCCCATAAAAGCTGGAATTGTTCACTCATATAAAAATTAGGAAGAAATCAGATATAGTTTCTCTTAAGAGGCAGTGGCAAATAGGATACAAGGGATTGAAATGGGCCCAAACCGAGAAGCAAATCTATTTTCCTCTTCTTAAGAGTATTTAGAAAAGGTTTTAGCTTACTTAGGTGAAACATTTCCTGACTGTAGATCTATCTGCCAAATAATAACATTATTTACTAAAGTTATCATCAATATATCAAATCCCAAAATTGCCAGCTGTACTTACCAGTGATGTTTTTCAGAATATACTGTCAATCCCCAACTGCATCACATGGGAAAAAAACACACATACATATTAAAAACGACAAATTTTACAAGACTGAAAATAGGATTAGCAGTTAAGGAGGTGATATTTAATGGTGGGAATACCAAAGAGAATAGATATCTGGAAGTGAATGATAAATGTTGAGGGATTTGGCTACAAATCTATGCTGAAGGGAGACAGGGAAGGAATCTCTTGATGTCATGGGGCAGAGGAGGAAATCTCTCAAAAGATACTCTTGGCTGAGTAAGGACAGATGTCTAGGAAAATGGCCAAAATAAGATAATATACATATTGACCTACTGATATTGTGAGAAATGGAAGAATGAGCCAATTGCAACACAAGTATATGTGCTGGGCTTAGAAATTAAGCATGGAGGCAAAAGTGAGGACAATTTCAGTAATAGAATCTCAAACTACATACAATTCGTTAAAATGAGATTTCACAGTATTAAGTATTAGTGCAAACATTAATTAGCTAATCAAAGTAATTTGTGATAAGAAAGTGTGGTATACACCAAATGCTGGGATGATTCAAGTATTAAAGCGGAACATAATGGATAAGAGGGGTCCACTTCCTCTCTATCATCTACACGCTACGGGTTTACTACCCAATTCAGCAAAACAAAAAGGGCAAATTACACAGCCAGGCATCACGAGGCTGGAGGGTAGCATTTGTTTTCCTGTATGTAGACTTCCCTGGAACACCCCTATGTCCCCAGACTGTGACTGATCACGGAATAGGATGTGGAGAAACCCATGTGTTTCCCAGTATACAGGGCCTTCTAAGGATTTCTTGCTTTACATAAAGGAGATGCAATCACCCAGGAGCTTGACCTTAGTCTCAGTGGGAATATCATCCCTCCTTATTTACCCAGACAAGTTTCCTTGGTCTGCAATAGGTCCCCTGCCACATGTCTGTGGCAACTTCAGGAATGTGTCTCAAGCTTAATTTATAAAAAGTTAGACTAATGCCACTGATTCCTAAATCCTTGAACAGACATATATTCCTGTAACTTTTTCTTTTCAACAATCCTTTCCTGTCAAACTTTACCTTGTTGGAGGCTTCATTTTCTTTTTCACTCCAAGATAAAACTTCATTGAACTGAGAGAAAACATTTTGTCATATTTACTACTCTGTAAGAAAAAGAAAATAATTTGTAATTAAACAGATTTTATAAGTATCCTTACATTTTCCTTGAGTGTTAATGACTAAATTTAAAACTGTTTAGTCTCTCCAAGGTTTCATGAATGTTTTACCAAGATTTTAGTAAATGAAGATTGTTTTGACTACAACGTTATAAATTTAAATAGATAATTTTGGATATGTATGTATGTTTACAAATGTGTGTATATCTATAAACAAACACACAAACACAGGTCAATAATTCTTTATTCAAGACACCTGGGACCAGATGTGTATCAGAATTGATAATTTTTCAACTTCTTCATATTTTAAAAATACACTACAATTCATGTGCAATGTTAAGTAACTCCACCACACCACCAGTGTTGTTTGGGCTAGCACGCTCTATTCAAATATATTCATAGTTCTGTACTGAAATGCATGACATTTATTAAAGTGTGAGATAAATAAAGGCTATGAATATTATGGACTGAATGTTTGTACCCCCTCAAATTCATATTGTGATATCTAATGCCCAACATGATGGTATTTGGAGGTGGGGGCCTTTCGGAGATACTTAGGTCATGAGGTTCAAGCCCTCATGAATAGGATTAATGCCCTTAAAAGGGCCCGGGGAGCTAGCTCGCTCTCTTTCCATCATGTGAGGATATAAGGAGAAGTCAGCAGTCTACAACCAGGAAAATGGCTCTACCAGAACCCAACCATGTTGGCACCATGATCCTGGAGTCTACAACCAGGAAAAGGGCTCTACCAGAACCCAACCACATTGGCACCATGATCCTGGACTTCCAAGAAATAAATTTTCTTTATAAACCACCCAGTCTATTGTACTTTGTTATAGCAGCCCAAATTACCTAAGACAAATATCTTCATTTTGGTTTGGGTCAGGTTTTGCCACCAAATGAGTTATGATTTTCTGTAGATTTTGGAGTTCATAATTATGGCAAACAGACTGTGAGCCTTTATGGAAACATAATGAACTATCTCAAATATCCATATTAATGAAAATCCTCACTAATAATTCATGAAAGTAGACTTAAAAAAATTTACATTTGCTCTGGATAATTATATATTCTCCATACAAATCCCAAAGTATTTATCTGAGATTAATATTTAAAAAAAGTAAATCCTTGAACATGGACCATCAGGAAAGCTGTCTGACAGAGGCAAAACTTGAATCATTATACTCTAATTTAAACCCTTAATATAAAACCACACACATTTTATTATTTATCATTGGATACCATGCAATAGATTTTATAAAGATAAGAGCTATGGAAATAACTATGAACACAGCCTTTCCTCACAACCTAAAAATTCTCAAGGAAATCTCTTGTTTCAAACTGTAGTCAGATAGCCTTCATAACTGAGAGCAAGAGGCTTGGAGTCATAGAGACCTGGGTACAAATCTGGCTTGCTACTTACTTAGCTTGTAACCTCATATTACTTCTCTCTGCCCTTATTTCTTGTTTGTAAACAGGGACAATAAAAATATTGACTATTTCATAGGGTTATCATGAAGATTAAATGAGAAAGTAAAGGGTTACTGTGAAAGGTTATCATACAAATTAAAGGAGAAAAATGCCTATAAAGGGTTTAGCCAGTAATTGTCATAGAGTAAGCACACAGGAAATTACAGCAATTGTTGTTACAATACATTTAAAACACACTGCTTCAGAGAAACAGCAAGAAAGACAAGTTGTCAGGACCCCAGGACAATGCACAAAAGCCCACTTAGCAAATATTTGGCTCAAATTACCACCAAGTTCTATACAAGTTAAACTTTTACTATGAAGTCCTTTCTTTATGAGATCAGTCAAATTTGAAAAGTAAAGGGTGGAAAATATGTTGGTAAAATTAAAACTTGGTTTCCGTAAAGAAAACAGGTTAGGAGAATATAGAGAAAATATAGAGAGAAAAAAGTAAGAGGAAGAAGATCAGGAACAATGTTTTGATGACCAACGGCCTCTGGCAGCGATGATAAGGCCTGGAACTTACATGGTGAATTTACTCCTAGTTACTATTATCAATGTTGCTCTTATTATCATGATAAATAATTAAAAAACATATTTTGGAGCTTTTTTTCCCTTATGGCTAGGTTTCTAGACATGGAATCACTGGGTCAAAGGATAGGAACATGATTAAAATTTTGGCTAAACTGATAGGATACGTTTACTTACAGTTGAACATATATTTGTGTATTTGCGAGCGATTTTCAGTTTTGATTTGGTCAACAATTTATCCAATTTTTTACTTATTTGTTTGCATTAGTTCTTTATATATCAAATACGAAACTGCCTTTTTAAGTGAAATATTCTACTCAAATTTCTATTTGCTCTTTACTCAATCCCATGGCCACGTAGCTTGAAGGGTTGCTATTTTTAAAGTTTTAATTCTTTTGTCAATCTAGAATACATATTTTATATACACTATGGATGAGAATTTAAATTGAAATTTTTTTGTGAAAAATTATCCCAGCTGTATTTATTAAACAAATCTTTCTTTAGATATGCATTTATGATGGCATATTGATCAAAATTCTGATATACAACTAACTCTTTTACCTGACTGTATGGTACCATTGCTCTCTCTGCCTATTTTTATGCCAGGATCATATTATCTAAGATATTTTAGTTTTATTGTACACCTTAATAGTTGGATGAGAAATATTTCACAATTATTTTACTTTTTATGCCCCCCAAACACTTGCAAGTATTCTTATCTGTTCATCCTTTGAGGTGAATTATCAAATCATTTTTGCCGAGTTCTAAAAGCAATTTCCTTTGGAATTTTGAAAAGAATTACATCAAAGCTATAAATCTATATTAGATATTACAAGAGTTTTCTTTTATTTCTATCAGTAAAATTCTGTAGTTTTCTTCATATAAGCCTCTACTTCTTATTAAGGTCATTTTCTGGTAGTTTATATGTTTTCTGGTAGTTTATATGTTTACCAGTCCAAACAAGGACTGGTTTTTGGGTATTGATTTTTTAGCATGCTACTTTACTGAACGTTAAGGAATTCGAACTATTTAATATGAAACAGTGAGGTAGCTTTGCGAGGCAGTAAGTATCCCATATAGAAAAAGTTAAGGAGAAGAGAACTTAAAAATGTACACAGAAGAGGAAATCCCGGACACTTCTGTCAGAGGTTAAATCAGATTACAACTGAGGTCAATGTCCCTCCCCGTAGTCAGACTGCTGTTCCCTTGGACACAGTCCCAAATGAGGCAGCAGGGTAGGGGGAGAGGAAGCGACCTCAGCAGTTTGGGTAAGATGGGACTTGCATATTTGAGAATGAGAAGCACTGTGCCTGAACGAGGCAGTCCTCATTTACACAGGCCATTGCAAAGTCCAGGAATGCCTACATTTTGGTACTTTGGGGAACAGACTGCGAGTCGGAAGTAATACAACTGATTCCCAAGCCACTCTTGACATGCAAGCTCATTACTTTACACCATATCCTGTCCAAAAAGAACACAGATGACATAATTTGAGAGGAGATCAGCAATGGTGGGAAGAAATCTTTTTTAGTTTCAATCTTTAAAGTGAATATGCATAAAGAGGAACTATAAGGATCCTAATGGAAAGTTCTATAAAAAGAAATCTCATTTGGCAAGAAAACTTTACTGTTGGCTTATTACAACTCTCTCTTTTGGTATCTGTATTTTCTGGAGAATTTCTTCAAAAAGTTCAATATACTGGAGTGTTATCAAGTCTGTAATGTGTTGCTTCAGGAACCATATTTTAAAATAAAGTTTTTAAATAAGCCAATTAAATTAGTGTGCTTAAAAAACTATTCTTGTGGTTAAAAGGAATTTGTTTATTACTGTATGCAATTTTTAACCAGCCCCCCTTACTCATTTGCTTTTTTTCATACCATTAACAGTGTAATGGTAAATTCTTTGAAACTTCTCACCTTTTATGTAAATCAAGTCTGAAAACATTTTAATTAACATTTTCTGTGCAGGGAAAATTCTCAAAACAAAATATATCTTCCCTTGTGTATTACCCTAATTTGTTGTTAATGAGCATTCATAAATTATCTCTAATTAACACATAGTCTCTTTAAATACACTTTCCAATTTGTAGTTTCTATTCCCTTCTCAGTAAATCATTTTCTAAATATATACAAGCACAAATATATTAACAGCAACTGTCAAAACCGGAGCCGAATCTTTATTCAAGTAAGTTAGGAGATTTTTACTATTGATTATTTACTGTAAAATCATCTGAAAAGTTAACATTGCCAATGATGTGACTGTCAATAACAAAAGGGACAGACCAGCAACATGAAAAAATAACCGGCAAAATAAAATCACGTGTTGAAAATAATAGCAGTTTGAGTTTAAAGGAAAACCATGTCTCTCATTTGCTTGCCTTAATGTGCAAACTAAAGTATCAGTTGCACTAATTCTGACAGATGTACAAATACAACTTTCAAACACTTAATAATTAGACTATAATTCTGTACCGAGGTCACTGTGATAGGAACAAAATGTGTTTAGCCCCCTTAAAGAGCAGTGTCTTTCTGACAAATACTATATGATCTCACTTATATGCAGAATCTAAAAAAGTCAAATTCATAGAAGCAGAGAGTAGAATGGTAATTGCCAGGGGCAGAGCGGTGGAGGATACGAGGAGATGCTGGTTAAAGGGTACAAAGTTTTAGTTATGGAGAATGAATAAGTTCTGGAGATCTAATATACAGCATGGTGACTATAGTTTATACCATATTGTATCCATAAGATTTGCTTAGAGAATAGATTTTAAATGTTCTCACCACAACACACAAAAAGATAACTAGGTGAGGTAATATATATGTTAATTAGCTTGATTATAGTAATCATTTCACAATGTATACATATATCAGAACATCATGTTGTACAACGTAAATATATACAATTTTTATTTGTCAATTATACTTCAATAAAGCTGGGAAAAAAAGAAATCATTCCAAATGTCAAAAAAAAAGCACTGTCTTTCAGACAAGCTCTCTAAACTATCACTGTCTACCAGTTTATGTGAATTATCTTAGACTGAGCAAGACGATCCTTTCAAAAGACACAAATTCTTAAAACAAAACATACTCTGTTAAGGGATATGAGATTCCTTATCTTGCTTACAGAAACAATCGATCTGAAAAAGTCACTTCTCCATGAACAGATTTCCTTGTGGCAGATTTTTAAATTTACATCAGCTTAGGGGAAAACATAATAAAAAACTGAGTTGTATAGATGGTCATATTTGAAAATATTTGCTACTATTTAAATGAAAAAGACTTATCCTCTTTAAATAAAATTCTGTCAGCAAAAACAAACCAAGCCAAAACAATGCAAAGTTATTGTTTCTTTACTAAGTCCCTGCATAGAGCCTTTGGAGTCAGACACCTGGAAATAAATTCTGACTGTCGCTTACTCGCTATGTGATCTTGGGCAAGTTATGCAATATCTTGGTAGGCTCCATTTCTTCATCTGTTAAGTGGGAGTACCAATAACATAGGGTTATTGTCAAGATAAAATGAGAGAATCCAAGTGAAATGCAGAGAATTCTGCTTTTCATAGAGTAACCACTTGAATGTTACTGGCTGCTACTATGATTGCACTGCTATTACTACTACTAGTGACTACCAGTTGTTTCTAGCAACTTTCTGTTGCTACACAATGGAAGTGTCGGTTCCTCAATGGGACTAAAAGCTCAGGTTGATTTTAAAATACCCTAAGCAGACATCCAACTATAAAAGTGATCTATAATCAACATATTATGTATTTAGAAGGGCAAGGATTAAGGAAGTCAGTCTAATGAAGATCAAGGTGGGTGAGCCGTTGAAGAAAATGAAACCAAATTCAATCGGATTCACTTGTAGATGGCTAGAATAATCAGCTGTGAAGTCTAGCATTTGCTTTCACAAACGCAAACCTAAAGTTCACGTAACCTTAAAATTTGATGTGTTCAGTTCACATAACCCCGAATTCTTATGTGCCTTATTTCTGCAAACTCCATTCTTCCTCTACTGAAAAAACTGAAGAATGATAATAAACAATAACAATCACTTGATACCCAGACTCCCTGCTGGGTCTATCAGATGGAATAACAAGGTGGGAGTTCAAGTAGGGTATATAATACAGCTATCTGAAAAGAGGGATAAGGGCTGCAGAATTCAGTGCTGTCTTATTAGTCTCCTGCCTGGGCATTCTACTGCCCTTGAAGAAAGTGAATATGAGATGTGTACTCAAAGTAAGAATGCTACTAAGATTTATTTATGCCCACATGGAGGCTTCCCTGCTGGAGGAACATGCAGGGAACGAGGTCAAAGCGTGTAGAGAGCTCAACAGAAGTCACAACAAAATGCAGCCGCAGAGCTTTGGAAAGCTGCTTAACAATTCATTCTTCATAACATGTTAAGAGATGTTACTAACCTGGTCTTTCTTTCTTTGTGCATCTCCACAACAGAACACAGTGAAGTGCTACATACTTAAAGTATGCAAGCCATGTTTATTCAAGTGAATTTTATAATTCAATATAAAAAGGTGTCTCACATGAAAAGATGTTCAAAATCATTAACTATCAGGGAAATGCAAATCAAAACTACAATGAGATATCACCTCACGCCCATCAGAATGGCTATAATTAACAAGACAGGAAACAACATGTATTGGAGAGGATGTGGAGAGAAGGGAACTCTCATACACTGCTGGTGGGAGTACAAACTCGTGCAG